TCTGCAAGGTTATGCTCTAAGTAAAACCTTCACCAAATCATTTGTTAAGTTCACATATACAAGTACTGCAGATGGTCCTAAACTTGACCATTTCCTGTCAAAATGAAAGGAGTGTCTCGTCTAGAATCCCTTTTGTGGGCCAAACGGAAGCTGTAGGCAACCTAATAGTTGTTCTTTTTTGAGAGAGTGGAAGTGGCAAGGAGGGGTAGGACTTAAGCTATGGCCTTATGAAATTGATGGGTGTAGCTACAAATGCCAATTCCACGATTTGCTTCTGGTTTACTCCTTGTCTCCTAATGCAAGGGCTCCCTCTGCAGGCTCCAACAACCCTTGGGTTCTGCATGGGAAGCTAAGTCCAGCTATGCAAGTGCCTGTTGCAATTCTTTTTACTTGTGAGTGTTGGCTGTACCCACTGACAACAAAACTGAAATGTCATGGTACACACACTCCTTCGGTTCCACGGGTGCTGCACTGTGGTGTAACTGCTGCTATTAAGTGTGAAGTGAGTCCTAACAACACTCCTCTTATACACATCCACCTAGCTGTGTGTTGTAGCCTAGCATGGGCACGCGGCACACAGAACAAACGGCAGGATGCATTTTAAAGACCCCATGTAGTAGAAAGACACACCTCTGTGGACTCACACAGCCCATTAAATGCCTGATATTCCCATCAATTGAAAAGTATGGTACATATATACCAAGGAATGACCCTGGTCCTATGTTGCTGGCCAACTCTAACATCTGCAGTTTGTGTTTCAATTTGATTTAAGGTCTATCAATCTCATAAAAGCCTCTTTTAGATTATGTTCACATAAAGATACAAAAGAATACTTTGATAGATAAAACAGCGATATGTCAACAATTATATGAATAAGAATGGACTTGTTCAAGGTAAACATTTCAGTACCACATATAACATGGGACCACACCCTTATAAAGCTCATTTGCCAAAATTCAAGTATAAAGAGGGCACACAGGGTCAGCTATGCTATTGCATTCAGCCCCAGACATTTTAAAATATATTTTATTGATTTTTTTACGGAGAGGAAGGGAGAAGGATGGAGAGTTAGAAACATTAATGAGAGAGAAACATCGACCAGCTGCCTCCTGCACATCTCCTATTGGGGATGTAACCTCAACCAAGGTACATGCCCTTAACCGGTCGAACCTGGGAACTTTCAGTCCGCAGGCCGACGCTCTATCCACTGAGCCAAACCGGTTAGGGCCAGCCCCAGGCATTTTTAAATGGTGAGGGTTATGGGGAACTAAATTAGAGAACAAAAGAATAACAATAATAAACTTGATGAGAGTGGCCTAAGGTAAACTCACAACTTCAACTATTTTTCCCACTTGGTTTCTCATCTGGGATGTGTGTGTGTGTATGTTTATGTGTGTGTTAGTATGATAAATACAATTTGAGACAGCAGTGTTTACTAAAATCCATCACAAGTATCATGAACTAAATAGAGTGTCAAATTCTTTCCTAAAAGAAATACTACTTTGTTAACAATCTCCATCTGCCTTCTTCCTCTTCCTCTTTGCCCACCTTTCTATCTTTAAAATCTTATTTTCTTCTCCTGATTAGGGATGAACATCACAGTAACCTTTTCTTACCCTCCCTGGTGAGATATTTATGAGGTATTATTCATGGATTTTATAAAGATATTATCAAAAACATTATGAAAATGATTAAGCACATACAAAAGCAGAAACACTAGTAAATTCTCATTTACCTATTACACTTCTTCAACAATTACCAACCTGTGGTCAACGTTTATCTGTATCCCCCATTCCTCACTTCTCCTCTTTGCACTGCATTCTCCCAGCAAATCCCAGACATCACCCATATAGAGCTTTAGCATTTGTCTCTCTAATATAAGAGCTATTTAAAAACAAACCAACAACACATTACTGCTATACCATTAGCAAAACTAAAAAATATTAATAGCAATTACATAGTATCATCCAATTTCTAACATTAAACTTTCCCAGTTTATCTTATAAATTTATGATAGTTTTTTTTGTTTGAATTGGAATCCAAACAATGTCCACACATTGCATTTGAATTTGCATCTCTTTTTAAAATCAAAGGTTACATATCTTTCATTTTTTCTTTTCACTTTCTTAGTGGATGGTGTCTTTGTCTTTGAGGATTTTGCTTATGGTATCCTTATGGTGTTGTTCAACATGTTTCTCTATCCTCTCTTGCTTTTGTTTGTTTGTTTGTTTGTTTTTGGTAGTTAGATTTAGACACCTGTCAGAATCAGATTCAGTTTTCCTTAGCTAGAATACTTCATAGGTGGGGCCATATAGTCCCATTCTATCACATCAGGGGTCTAATCTCATCATGGAAGCGTAGAGATAAAGAGAAACATGAAAGAGGAATTCATTGTATTTGGGTGGGGTTGAGAGTGACCAGGCAAAGAAGACCATTATTTTTTGACAAAACATTTAATGATTCTGGATAAAATCTACTTAACTATGTTTACTACTTAACTACTTAATTGTGCTCTGTTTTGCCAGAGGGACTCTAATGTAGCAAGTGTGTGAATCAGTCAGGTGTAGTTGGAGACCTTCACTGGGTGAATTTATAGATGGTCCCTTTAAAGGTACTTCAGAGGTATTCCAGAAAAGAGAGATGATAGAAATGTAGGTAAGACAAGACAAGACAAGACATAAAATGTATGTATTGTATTCTTGGAACTCTTGATGATCAGAGTGATCATTTAAGTGAGGAGAAATTGGGGCCACTCAAATGTGGGAGTCAGGAGAGAGGTGTCTATCTATATATAAAAGGCTAATATGCTAAGTGTCCGACTGTCCGACCAGTTGCTATGACACTCACTGACTACCAGGGGCAGACGCTCAACACTGGAGCTGCCCCCCGGTGGTCAACCTCTCTCGGCCCCTCCCCCCAACTAACCTCCTGAAGCTCTGGTTGCTGGCCAGGCGGAGGGACCCACCCGTGTACAAATTCGTGCACCAGGCCTCTAGTTAAAGAGATAATTAGTACCAATGGTCTCAAAAGCAGTTAAGTAGTAACAGAAAGAGATAGAGACTGGAGACCAGAATCATGAAAGTGGTATGGAAGCAAAAGGAAAATATGTAATATAAAAATAGAGATGAAAAGAATCAAGTCAGTAATAAAGTATCATTTAAAGTTTTCCTCACTCTTTTAAGGCTTGTTTCCTCTAGAAGTATTTTAAGGCTTGTAAGTAAAAAGTAAAGGATAAGCTGTTTTTCTAAATAAACAATTTCATCATTTCTTAAAATCTATGAATTTTGCACTGTTGAAAGCTATAAAGTATTTAGCTCCTAACAGGACATGGACAAAACAAGACCCAGAGCAAAGCGCTTGGGAGATCTAGGTTCAAAGGCTGGCTCTGGTCCTTTTTTTAAAAAAACAAAAATAACTTTATTGACACATTTAATATATCATAGAATTTCTTATTTCTAGTGTACAATTCAATGACTGTTTAGCAAATTTAGCAAGTTGTACAGTCATTACCATAATCAGTTTTTGAACATTTTCTTCCCCTGAGTGAGATCCCTCATGCCCATTTATAGTTAATCCTATCCCTGGCCCTAGGCAACCACTGATTTACTGTCTCTATGGATTTGTCTTTTCTGGACATTTTACATAAATGAAATCAAACAATATGTCTGGCTTCTTTGACTGCAAATAATGTTTTAGGGTTCATCCATGCCAAACATGCATCTGTAGCTCATTCTTCTTTATTGCTGAATATCCCACACTTTGTCTATCCATTTACCAGTTGATTGACATTTAGGTTGTTTCCAGTTTGGAACTGTTATGAATAATTCTGCTAAGAGCATTTGTATGTACGTCCTGGTATGGACATATGTTTTCATTTTCCTTGGGTGTTTACCTAGGAGCGAAATTACTAGATCATAAGGTACATTTACGTTGAACTTTTAAAGAAATTGACTGCCAAACTGTTCTCTAAAGTGGCGGTACCAGCAAAATATGAGAGTTCCTATTTTTCCAAATCCTCCTAATTCTGCCTCTTAATAGTTGTGCAGCCTTGAGCAAACTTTGGTTTCCTCTTTAGCAAAATGAGTGGCATAGAATGTTAACATTTGCTAAGTGCCTACTCTGTGCTAGACTCTGTGATAGGAGCACTCACATTCTTAGTCTCACCTCATTTTCCTCCCCATGAAATGTAGAGATGATTTTCTGTGTATCTGATGAATTTACTGAGGCCCAGAGGAGGTAGGTAAGTTAGTCATCACTGTGATACACGATGGTTGAAATACTAAATTATATCAAATAACATATACGAAGAGGCCTAGTAAAGTGTTAGGCACATAGAAGGTGGCTAATGAAGAGATTTTTATTTCTCTGCTTCTTCCCATCATCATTCACGTCTCTGATAAGTCTAACCACAGGGCCTGACTTACCCTAACCAGGTCTCACCATCTTTCTGATGATAGTCGCCTGTTATGAACCTGTCACTCTTTGGAGAATCTGAAAAGCCTTTATAGAATTTATCCGGCAGTCACAGCCTCCCTAGAGGCAGAAGCATCACAGAGCCAATTCCAACCCAAATAGCATAATCTTTGCTGCGCAAATGAGAGCAACTAGTTTAGGATGGGTTATGTCTTTTCACGATAGCTTTTATTTGTGTCTCTTTTCACAATGGAAGTAAATTTTTTTCCGAATCCCACAGAAGGGGGTTCTGGGGAAAAAGTATATATTAAGGTTGCCAAGCAGTTAATTGACTTGATTGCTTTGAAATGGACCCTGTTGGCTTGAAGATTGAATAAAGAGCAATAAGAAATGAAATCAAAGGGAGATAACACTCCCTTTGTCAAGTTTAGGAAAGTGATGTGGGTTAAATGGACAAATTCAAGGGTGTATTTTTTGAATATGTATTTTTTGAATATGAAAATTTATGTGACGTATAGTTATTATTTTAACTATACAGCATAAAGTGTTTTTAAATACCAGTAACTTGTCATTCATTGTCTTTTCAGGGAGATCCAGGCGTCAGAGGACCTCCGGGCCCCGCTGGGCCTCGGGGCTTAGGAACCCAAGGGCCCAAGGTGAGTCGTTAGGTCTGCGCTCTGTGTGAGGGTCAGGTACCGTTAATGACAACCGAGTGAACATTAACTTCAGAGTAAGTCCTCATCTTGGTGTTTGCTCATTTTTTCTTGATTACTGATGAAAAGTCTTCTTTTCGCATATCATGTGAACTTTCAGTAAATAGAACATTTAAGTTTATAAAGCTATTCTCTTCCCCCAAAGAAATTAGTAAGCCAGGCTCTCTTAAGAAAGTGGGTGCAAAGTCCTCAAAATATTTCTAGGCTCGTTGGAGGCTGTGCCATCATTCAGAAGCACATCTTTACTTTGGCCAGAGGTGCTTCAGGTGGCCTTTTAACAGGACGCCAGCCAATGTATCTATTGTGCATATGTGTGTAGGACACTGTCAGAACCTCAGTGCAAGGCGGTTTACTGTCTCCATGGAAGGTAACAGAAACTTCCTTTGGCTCTCTTTGCTCTTATTTCTATTTCTCTTCCTTTTGCCACCTTCAATTTGGTGATCATTCATCTGTTTATTCTTTTAATCCAGTGTTTCTCAAGGAGAGAGATTTTGTCCTCCCCTCTGCACCACAGGGGGACATTTGGGATCATTTGGGGGCGGGGGGGGGGGGGGGTCACAACCGGAGGAGGATTGTTATTGGCATCTAGTGGGTAGAGGACAGAGATGCTGCTAAATGTGCTGCAGTGCACAAGACAGCCTCTCATAATAAAGAATTATCCAGCTCAAAATGTCAATAGTGCTCATTCATTTGCTCAACAAATGTTATTTATTTATTCAAAAAGTGAGGTAGAGAACGAGCAGGCATGTTTATAGGGAAAACAGGTATCAGTAAGCCACCCAGCAGAAATTCAGATTTCAAATACATGTATCTATGCCCAAAATGCAAGGAAGTGAATTAGAATTCTGTTATCAGAGAGAAAAGCGGAGAGGCTTTATGAATCAAAGTTACTAAGGATCTCAGAATTACTAAGATTCTTTATCCTTTTTTTTCTTGTCCATCAACTACATTTGGGCCGTGGGCTATTTTTAACCTCATAGTTCACTTTATGTGGGTGAAGATTGCATCCAAGATGTCAGCTATTGTTATTGGGTCTATTTTTTTCTTCAGTGTCATCTTTCTGTTTAAATTTTCTTTCTTTTCTTTTTTTCTTTCTTTCTTTTTTTTTTTGCAATGAGCTGGTATTCCTCTTATCATCAGAAAAAATATAGCTTTTTTTTTCATACTGGAAAGAAAAAGTCTGACTTATACAGTAACTTACATTAACCTGGCATTTCTACAAAGCTTATTCCATCAAATAATAATTTGGGAACTTCTGGTGTAGTTAAACTAATCTCTCTATTGTGGGACTTCTTAGTGGCTTTAATATTTTAATATGTGGTAGAGATCTCCAAGGAGAGGCACATACCGTGGTGTAGAACATTTTCCAATCTCAGTTGGCCACAGAAATTTTTCCTTAAGAAATAGGGGGTCTACTTATATTATAAGGAATACACACTGGGAAATCATGCACTTTTTGCTTCATTTACATATTATCTCAAAAATTCAACACTGATCCACATTAATATCCACTGATTCTTTACCTAAACCCTGGTGAATGAGCATTCCATATTGAAATGGAGCAGTAGACGGCAAGGCTACACAGAACAGTGTGTGTGAGTGGTCCTCTCACCCCTGGTGTCTAGGGGTTGGGGGTAGGGCAGCTAAAGGAGCCCAAGCTGATGAAGCTACAGGGCCAGCACTTCTGCTTACACCAAGCAGCTCTGTCTTAAGTCTTCATTTATATTTGGATTATATGTACAATTTTTGCAAAGGATTCTGTGGCTTAAAAGGGTTAGAAAATCACTGCTATATATAAAACATGATATAGCTTATGGGCAGCATGGATGAAGGTCCTGAACAGACTGAAGTAAGAACAGAGCCAAGAGTAATAATACATTGTTTCTCCCTGATTCTTCTTACACTTGTCTGATTTCTCTCCAACAGGGTGATATTGGGCAGAAAGGTTTGCCTGGCCCTCCCGGCCCCCCTGGCTATGGATTACAAGGAATTAAAGTAAGTGAACCTGATTGCACTGGAGTCCCATCTCAGTCTACTAAGGTGATGGAGAAAAGACACTGTGGACAATATAAAATATGACTGTTATGAAATGAAGTTAATATAAGCTTAGACATTAAAATTGCATATAGTAGTTAAAGACACCATCCAGCCATGTAAAAATGGCGTAAGTGCATTGTTTCATGAGTGCGAACCGTAACATAAAGTGCTTGGTGAAAAATTTAACTGCTGCAGTGACTGGTTGTGCTGCTGCTGTGGCATCCCTGGTTCTAGGAAACCCTGAACACATGACGGGTCCACTCCCTTCCGCACCGCAGCAGCCTCTGGTCATTCCTGTGCAGTCCCCGCAGTTGCCTGCTGGCCCTGTGCTGCAGGGGCGCTCCAGCTCCCAAAGGCCTCAGAGCTTTTTCTCAACCGCAAATGTCTATTGATTGTATGGATTGATGGAGGGCTGTGGCTCTTTGGTCTCAAAACGGCCTTGGTGTTTTAGATTCACAGCAGAGGTCAGGGGGTTATATGATGCCACGATCTTGGTCCCATGTGAGCCTGCAGAACTGACCTTTTCCCTAGATATGGACTCTAGATATGCCAGTACTTCCCCAGGTTAAGTCATAAGGGACAAGGGATGGGGCTGGGTCTTGAGAGAAGTCCTTAATATGCCCATTAGTCCTTGAGGGGCCAGGACTTTATAGGGGCCAGGAGGAATCTACTGAGAGGGTGGGCCATTCTGGTTAAAAAGCCAAGTATGGGGACAGACAGAAATCTTCATTTCTACTCAGGAATCATTCCAGTTTCCCTCTCCCCCATCTTTAAGTTAGTTCCAGTGTTCTTTCTGCCCCAGTTTCCACATCTGAGTAATGGGGATAATGACAGTACTATGGTATTTCCTAAAGTTGATGTGAAGCATAAATGAGACAGTATGTATAATGCACTTAACACAGGCTTGGCACATGGTTGCATATGTAGTAAATGTTGTAGTTACTCACATTGTTACTCTTTCCTGCTCCTCTCCCCTTTCCGCTAGTACTTGTATTTCCCAGGATGAAAGTCCAGAACTCTGACATTCACGTGACTTAATGCTCTAAAACATAAAATATCAGTTGCATGAATTAGTGCAGGCATGGCTTCAGTATCCAAAAAGACCCAACATGTACAATGGCTCCAACACAATAGAGCTTTCTGTTCACAGAATAGGCCATGTAGGTGTTCCTGGTTAGTGGTCAATTTTCTTCCACATAAAATTTCAGAGAACCTCATCTTCTATTTATGGTTTCTCCATCTGCTGGGCCTACTTACCACTTACTCCCAGCAAGCAGAAAGAGAGAGCGTGCAAGAGGCACACTTGCTTCTTAAACATCTTGGCTAAGAGGTGACAGACATCACCGCTGACCACATTTTAGTGATGGGAACTAGTCTCACGGAAAGGGAGTATCACTCTGTGCCCAGAAAGAAGGGAATCAGAGGTTTGGTGAAGAGCTGGCGTTTACTGCCACAAATAATTTAACCTGTTTAGAGGTAAGATGAAAAAGTTACTTGTTGTTCTGAAGTATGTTGGTGGTTCCAGAAGAGAACAGGAAACAAGAGGGGTCTCCATGACAACTTCCAAGGTGCTTCATCACTCTCCTGATAGTGGGGACACAGTGACTTGGACTTTAAGAACTGGGGTTGGCCCTATCAGGTCTTTAATCCTATCTTGAAAAGAAAACCTTAGAGCCTTGGTATCTTCTTAGTCATTTCAACCAGCATCAGGAGCGCCAGTGGGTGATTTAGAAATTGTTTTGAGTAGACGGGCTGAGTACCAGGTAAGTAGCTGGACAAGGCTTGTGGTTGAGTGGGACCAGGACATTTTCCTTTTTGACTATCAAGTCAGGGTCAGAGGATGAGGGACCCTGAAGCCTGGTAGAGAGCTGTGGTTCCAAGGCTGGGGGAGGTGGGCATGGCAGCAGAGGAGGGAGGCAGAGCTGGCGTGAGGAGCCCTGCATCAACTCAAGATAAGGAGGACCCAGCAAAGAGGCTCCTGTGGGGAATAAGGGAGGGTGGGAATCCAAGGGGATTACTTGGGATGCCAGTGTTTGAGACCAGCAGGGGTGTGGTGGTGGGTTTTTAAAGAACTTAAAGTTTTATTTGTCAATTACAGTTTACATTCAATATTATTTTGTATTAATTTCAGGTGTTCAGCATGCTGACATTTTAAATTGTTCTGACTTTTTCTCTCCCCTTCCTTCATGTCTTCCTCTCACCCTCGTGCCTACTTCCCACTTACTCATATCATAAATGTTATATGTTTATTCCTTTTCACTCTTGTAACAGACATTGTCCATATAAAACCAAGTTGAGTGAAGGACTTAGATAAATTCCTCTTAGATTCTGCAACCATCTTGATGGTATTTCCCATGAATTTCACTGTTGAAAACTTATGAAAGGTATTTTATCTTTTCCCACCCATCAATGCTTAGTTAGACATTTCTGGTATACATTTTCTTCCTTCTCCTTTCAGCAAGGGAAGAGATACCTTTACTACTCAGAGCTTTGAGCTCAGGGAAAGAAGTAGGGCCATAATACATTCTCGAAGTTTCATGCGTTATCTTCTTCGAGCCTCACCAGCCTGTGGGGTAGGCTCTAGGAAACAGGGCACAGAGCTGTTACATAAGTATCCAGGGTCACTCACAGCTACCTCTCCAGGCAGCCTCCCTGAAGAAATCACATGTTGGGTAGTAAATGTCAGAGAGAAGGAGATGATCAGCTTGAGACTTTCAAAAGGAAATGCCACTCAAAATTTTTATTTGCATGTTGGATTTAAAAGTTGGCCCTTCAAGATAAGAGACATATGCAGTGAGGTCTCTTTTCCTGATAATCTAGATTGTTTAAGAGAAAGAAGTATGAAGAGCACTTCTTTTCCCTTGAGTGCAGTTCTGTCAGAAGGCAGGGTTGGACTTAGCGACCTTTTGAAATCACTTGGGAGGCACAAGACCAGGAATTACAGCCGGATCTGGGCTGGCATGTGGAGCTGGCCTGGGTGAGGCTGTAATCACCCCTTCAACGGCTTATCAGGTCCTTTCTGGTTTGGCTCCTTTGTACTGCAAACCTCTGTGACGAGTCAGTGAGTAGCCAGCCAGCACATCTGTTTTTATTGCTTTTCCAAATACCGTAAGAACTTTACAATTATTGGCTTTTTATTAGTAGTGCCTTTGCTTATCTAGCTCCAGGTGGGAAATGAGGTAAATTACCTGTTCAAGGTCACTCAGAAAATCCCTAATGAAGCAAAAGTTATGCAGTTTTCTGGGTATGTTGTGGCTCAAACTGTCAGGCTATGATAAAGATAGCCCAGTATACTTTTTCTTTTATTTTATGAAAAATTCTTAAATCATAAATTTTTCAGAAATGCTTTGCATATTATCAGAGCCCAACCATAGGCCCAAAGTGTGTGCATTCTGCCCTATAGGGGAAAGCCAAACAGTGAGAAGAGCCCAAGTACTGAAATGGAGAGAAACAGGCAGAAAAATTACCTGCCTCTGAGACAGAGAGGGAATTAGGAGGAAAAAGAAAGAATAGGAAATGGGTTATGATGACTTTTTAAAAAATGTTTTCATTTATTTTAGAGACAGAGAGAGATAGAAACTTTTGATTTGCTGCCTCCTGCAAGCCCCCTACTGGGGATCTAGCTCACAACCCAGGCATGTGCCCTGACTGGGAGTCAAACTGGTGACCTCTTGGTTCATGGGTCGATGCTCAACCACTGAGCCACACCAGCTAGGCATGATGACTTTTTAAAGACACTGTAGTTAGTAATGCTTTTGTTCTTACACTCTTCTATTACCTGAAATTAATGTACTTATTGTCTTTGGTTACATTTTACCGGTGTTCTACTTCCATCCTTTTATTTCTTAAAAGATTATTTTTCTAAGTATAGAATTCTAGGTACACAGTTTTCCCTTTCAGTACATGGAAGATTTTCCTGTCATTTAGTCTCCATTACTTTTCTTGAGAAGTTGCTATTCCTTTGGTGATAATTTGCCCTTTTCTCTGGTTTTTAATGCTTTCCCTTTTTTAAAATTTTATTTTATCATTGACAGTATCACAGATGTCTCCCATTTTCTCCCTGTCTGTGTCCACGGGTTATACATATATGCATAAATGTTCTTTGGTTAATCTCTTCCTGCCCCCCCCCCCTCACCCCCTGCTGACCCCCCACTCCCGCACTGAGATCTGTTATTCTGTTCCATGAATCCATACCTCTGGACCTATTTTGTTCATCAGTTTATTTTGTTCTTCACATTCCACTTCTAAGTGAGATCATGTGATATTTGTCTTTCTCTAACTGGCTTATTTTGCTTTGCATAATCGTCTCCAGGTCCATCCAGGATGCATTTAGATGTAGATTTCATTTTATTTATCTTTTTAAGATAAATAAAATGTATTTTTGTTAATTGTTTTTGGGAAATTCTCTGCCTTATCTTTACAATAAGTAACTGGAAGCAACCTGCCCTAGTTTCCCCATGTCACACCCTCTCTGTCTTTCTGGAACTGCAATTAGTTAAACGTTTTTATTGTTGCATATCTGTCCTTTCATATTTTCACTGTTGTCTTTCTGAGTCACAGTACAGCTAAGATTTTTCCAGTACACTTTTCAGTTTGCTAAATCTTTTTTCAGCTGTGTCAAATTTATTGTTTAGTCAGTCCATTTAATTTCTAGCTTCAATTATATTTTTCATTTCTAGATGTTCTTTTTTAGCTTTTAGAATCCACATAGTCATTCTATATAGAGTTTTCTTTCAGAAAAATAAATTGAGATAATTTCCCTTCCTTGTTTAAAAAGCTTCTAAAGTTTTCCTGTAATATTAAAAAAATTAAAACAAAGAAAGAAAAAAAGAGAGAAAAAGCTCTAAAGGCTGTATCTCATCTGGACATTGCCCACCTCTTTGACTTTTTCTTGCATCTCTCTTTTTTCCCCCCAGTGGTTTTAAAATTAAATTTATTGGGGTGATATCGGCTATATC